TCCCTACAGGAAGAGACTATTTGGGTGGAATCTACCCTCTTGAATTCTTTCTGAAATTATTCCATTTCTTCTTTTTTTTTTTTTCCCACAGAAGAAAGGATGTGGATTTCTGTCTCACCTCTACTAATCTCCCCCACTTGATTTGTGGAAAAAAACTCTCTAAGGAGAAGCTAAACTCCTAATTGCCTTTGTAAATCAAAGCTCAGCAACTCCTTCTGCAGATTTCACTCATCACATCAGAGATCTCTGCAGTAATTTCTACAGATGAGCTCATTGCGTTCGTCTTCCTTCATAATCAGTTGAAGAGAAGACAATCACAGGTGATTCACCTGATGGGCCTTTTAAGGTGAGATAAACCATATCCTGGACTCCACTAACCGAACCGAGGGGAACGGAGGACCACTGGGTCAGCTGCAGGTTTACAGGGTAGATACCTACATCTTCTTTCATGAATTCACCAGTGCAATAGGGATATAAACATCAGACTATGGCTATTTACACAGCTGAACAAGAAAGCACTCCAGGTTGAACACTGACCCTAAACTACTTGCATACACAAATCCATGTCAGAAGTGGAAGGAGAAATTAGTCATGTCCTCTGATCGCTATATTTCTGTTTCATCCTTGCCATCGTGCTGAAGGCATGTGAAATGATTTCCCACGCAGTGATACCTACCCAGTATCATCAAAGTGAAGCCTCAGCACTGCCCAGACAGTGACACAAATTGTTGGGGTACCTGCAGAAGATAAGATGATCATATTGTTAGCAGTCTAGACACATTTAGTACTCAGTAATGAGCACTTTTTGCAACCTCTCCGCTGAGGTTTTATTTCCTAATAACACTGGTGTACAAAAAAATGCAATTCACTGCATTAATTCTGAGCTCTAGAAACATCTATCTCAGTCAGAGGATGGGTTAGTCTTGGGATTGCAGAAGCAAAACTGATAACAGGAAAGAATGATGTTGTTTCAAGTCATTATTGCTCAAAGCTGTTTGTACTGCATCTTGTTGCATGAACATTAAAACATTGTACAAAACACAAGCAGTGACATCAGCTTCCATGTCTAGAGCTACTGTAATTATGTAATAATTGGAGAGTGGCAGATGTTGAGCTGTAATGACATTATTGTACTCTTTGTATTCTTATGTGGTTTTGTTGTAAATGATGTGTGTATATTGTATTTTCTCTGTTATTGTGTAACTGGCTGATTTTGCTTTTCTTATTTAACCAAAAAAATCAGCAGAGGGTAGTATTCCACTACTCACCGTAATGCTCCATTTTTTTCATGAACCAAACAAACTCCCAAAAGAGAATATTGGGAGCAAATATTTAAATTTTATTTCAGACATTTGTTTACTCTTTAAAAAATGCATGTAAAATACAAATTGAATGAAAACATTGAGAATTCACTGAAAAAACAGGATTTATTTTCCCTTGTGAAAACATTAAAAGTGCAGTTTTTCGGTGGAAATGTTTTTATAAAAAAACACAGTTTTGCAAGAAAACTGTGAGTAAGTTGGATCTACATTTTATGGCAAATAAAATCTTTGACCAGGAAACTGCCTACATCTCTATTCAGGCACCACTGGAAAGATAAAGTGCTAAAAAGCAAACACAACAAGGACCTTGATAACCCCAGCTTGCAGCGGTGAACAAGACTGTCATAAGTTGACAGGAACAATTATGTTTCATACATTTTGCAAGGCTGTGTTGATGTCACATTAATTAGTCATTCGACTGAATCCACTTAAGCGAGTCTCTGTCAAATCTCACATTCCTGCTATCAGAAGTAAAAATATCCCTGTTAGACCTACATGACTGCTGAAGCCCTCCTCCTTTAAAAAAGCACACAGAGAAATATTTGAAAGGAAAATGATAGAAAGAAAGAAAATGACAGGCTTTGGGGAGAAGAAATCATGCATATTTAATTTAAACTGAAGTCTGCTTTTCTTACATGAGAATACTTAGAAAACATTGAGATCTTTGTGCACTTAACAGATGCACAATAATAAAAATCATCTTTAAATATCAGCCATGGGTCTGACGTGCTATCTAGTTTGCACTGGTTTGCACTATATAAATTTTGATCGTATGAATAGTGTTCCAAGTCTGAAACACGGGCAGGAAGACAGAATTAGACTAAATGTGTCATAAAAAAATAGTTCAGAAACCAGGTTTCAGATCAGCTTGGAGTTCTGAATCATCTGCTATATGAATATACGTATAGTCACATTACTTTTCTTTACATCAAAAGGCATATATATATCTCTTCATCACCTTCTTTTCAGCTTCTGAGTGACATTAGAAGACAGACAAGCCTGAAAGGCTGAGAAGAAAGCGATTCTCGATGGCTGTATTTCTGCCCTGAGTAAGGAGCAGGCATTAGGAGAGATCTCAGGAAGACAGCAATCTATCCAGAGAACTTATCAGCATATTGCATATTTAAGAGGAAAAAATTGTCTGGATCGACACAGCCGTATGTAGTTCTCATTAATCAGATGAGGACGCTGATGTGCTCAGCACATTTTAAGAAACAGATAAACATCCAGATGCTGCAAAATGCTGAGCTCTTGCTTATTGCTGCTTCAATGCAACTCCCTCCCGATCAGCTCCGAGCTGAGGGGCTGCTTTTGCCCTACATGATTTACAGCCAGAGTCTGGAAGTGCTTCTGTTTTTGCAAAGTGCTAAATGCTCCTACCAGGTCAGGGGAACTGCTGTTCAAGGTGAAATACGCAGGAGCTGAGAAAATCTCATATTTAAAAGCCGAAAAAAACCCCAAACCATCCACATTTGGAGATTCTCTTAGTGTTATTAATGGATGTTATTGATACCGCTTTGAATATGAAGTGATATCTATAAACTGAACAGCTGGATATTTTTTATGGTATTCAACTCAAGACCAAATATTCTGAAGCTGCATTACATAATGAATCCATCTAGGTAGTTCTTTCATTACAGAGACTGATTTAAAAAAAGAAAAATCAGTTAATATGCTGTGTTGCAATATTCCCACATTTAGACAAACCTACAGATATGAAATTTGTGCAAACTTAAAGGAACCCAACATCTGATTTATGTTCAGATTGCAAAGATTTACACATTGTTTTCTTTTATAATTGTCAAATTTTCATGTACATAGCCCCCAAGTTCTCTTTGAAAACAGCCTTCTATCTCAGCTATGATGCGATTATACATCTGTGGATAGTACAAGGGGAACTTTGAACATCCTTTTCCAACAGTTTCTTTTCCAATAGCCTTTTCCAATAGCCATCTTTTTCCAACAGCCTTTCTATGCCATAGGTTATTTTTGATCACTTGTTCTCTTCTTTCTTCTCTGTACCTTTGCTCCTATTATAGGGAGTCTATGCCAGATGAGAATTTCTCTGCATATACAGCTGCCTCAGGAGGAAAAAAGTAAAACCAAAAAAAAGCTGTGGTTTACTTGAAGGTTCAGGTTACGTGAGGCTGTTTTTTTCAAAGGAGAATAGTTTAAAGCATGTGGTTTGTATGTAGACTTTACACATAAGTATGCGTATGTTTGTTTAAGTATAAAAATTGAGCTTAACCTTCTTAAGGTACGTTTAAAATGAATTTATTCTTCTGCATTCACCATCTGACTTCTGCAGAAAAACATCAACAAAGAACTGTTTGAATGAACATGTTGCAGGAATCAATTTATGTCCAGAATGCCAGAATGAAAAATAATTACACTGGTTATCATTGTACAGCTGGCCTTTCTGAAACAAATCTTGTTTCTTCTCATTGCAAGTTTCCATTTCCCATCCAGGTAGGATGAGCATACATGGATACCCTTTGGATACCTTTTCAATTTAGCTATTATCTGGAAGAAAGGCACAAATGAAGTCTTAGAAAATGGACTAGACTTAGCATTGCAGATTTGATTAAGCTGAAGAACTTGGCATTAAGATCATATCTTGTAGAAGGCAATTCTCAGTTGTGGACTACATCTCTGCAAGAGATGCTGTGTCCTGCAGATTTCAGTTCAACTCTGTTCAGACAAAAAAGCACAATACGGTTCAGTCTGCAGTGGTACTTATATACAAAGACTAAAACTGTACTGTGAAACTGGATGTGGAAATATTAGATGGTTCGTGGAGATGTCTTACACATTGAGACATGTTTTAGACTAGAAATGTCACGTACCCCAGCCAATAATAGTGTACCAGTAGAAATATCTTCTCTCTGGGAAAAAGGTTTCTACCAATAAAGTGAAAAGGTACAATCCCTCGATGAAAAGCCAGAAGTAGTTGGACATGACACAGTAGTGAAAAAACACCATCACTGCTTTGCATTCCACCTGCAGAGAATCAAGAAAAACAAAGTTATTTCCATGTTGTTTCCTCCTAACAGATAGACAAACTGCCTTCAACCTCTCCAAATCTCTTACTGGAAAGGAACACAGCTGGGACTGGTATTACACACTTTTAACAGTAAAGTTTTAAAAGCATGAGAAGAATGTGAGGTGCCACTTAAAGAGCGAAGCTTTAAAGGGCAGGTAGCCAATTTTACCAGTGGGAGGTGGTCAATGAGCTTCTGCAGACAGCTTGAGAATGTCTTGCATTAGTGGGAGTTCACATCGTCAATGGACACTAATTGCTAGATTTAAGCCCCCTTCCAAGGATTGAGTGCAGAGAAGAAAAGAATCCAGTTGTGTACTGAGAAACCTAAGGAAGGATGTGAAATGGCAGGATGATTGCAGGAAGCCCTGAGAGTGGGATCACAAAGGGTGCACCCTCCTGTGTGCTGTTGAAAATTGTACTTCCTTGCCATTTGTGGGTGTTGTCACTCAGGGACAGAAAATGCAAGTAAGTGTAAGCATAAAAAAAGCAGAATGATTTACTGTAAAAAATGATAGAAGCTTTCACTCATTTGCTGGGGTGAAAAGCAGCAGACAAAAGAAAAAAGAAAAAAAGAAGGAACTGGGGTTGTTTAGTCTGGAGAGTCATAGAACGCCTTGGGTTGGTAGGGACCCAACCCCCCTGAGAAAAGGAGGCTGAGGGGACACCTTATCATCACTCTCTACAACTACCTGAAAGGAGGTTGTGGTGAGATGGGTGTCAGTCTCTTTTCCAAGTAACAAGAGATAGGACGAGAGGAAATGGTCTCAGGTTGTGCCAGGGGAGGTTTAGATTGGATATTAGGAAAAATTTCTTCACTGAAAGGGTTGTCAAGCACTGGAACAGGCTGCCCAGGGAAGTGGTTGAGTCCCCATCCCTGGAGGTATTTAAAAGATGTATAAACTTAGGGAAGTAGTTTAGCAGTGGACTTGGCAGTGTTAGGTTAATGCTTAGACTAGATGATCTTAAAGGTCTTTTCCAACCTAAATGATTCTATGATTGTATGACAAAAGCCTTAGGTGGAAACCAAGCTCCACCCTAACTCTGTGAGTCGGACACACTTATCTTTCCAGAGTTGCATCCCAGTGAGACATCATTAGTCCTACAAGAGCAGGACTTTTCAACAAATCAGAGTGGAATCAGTGTATAAACTGGAAGATCCTGCCTGAGGCAGTGGGAGGCTGACAATTTTGACTCATTCCCACTTGCACTCCATCCTCTGGGACAAATCTGCAACGTTCACAGAATCTCCTGCAGTCTTCACGGAAGCTCTACCAAGGTTGAAGATCTGGTCATTAGATGGCTGATTTTAATGTGTTTTATGCTTCAAGTGTTTCGAAACAGAGAGGCAGATGCCACTATTAGAAGAGTGATGTGAACAAACTACAGATCTAACATGGCTTCAGCTTTACCATGGAGATGAATTAAAAACAAAAACTAGTTTCAATGACAAAGAAAAGGCTGACTAAGAAACTACACAGCTGCACTTTCCTTTTGGAAGTTACTCAACGAATTTAGCTCATAACTGGATGGATAAAGGAGATCTCAGTTTGGGAACTCACTGTAATTCCACCATAATTACACCCGGTGAGCTGATTTATCAGATAAAATACTAGCCTTAATTGTGAAAGGAATTAGGATTTACACGTAATGTGTAGCTAAGTGCATCTGCTTTCCATGAAACCACACACTTCAGAGACAAACACGTGGCTACTAATGATTTTTTGAAAGTGTGACTGTCAGGGGTATTTTTTATGTCTGAAGAGTCACCCTCTCTACACATGACTCTGCCTGACATCGAGAACAAATAAGGCTCTGGGAGAAAAACCGGACATGCAGATGAAGGAAATTGCTTGTGTCTACTCACACCCCACCTATCACAGTGCAGATCTGTGAAAAGGAGAAACAACCGGAGTAGAGTCAGAAGCCGAAACTTGTAGGTCTGTCCTAAAGGACAGACTACTGGAAACTGATGAGGTCGTGAGAATACCACCCACAGTTTCTTGTGAACCTGGAGGGAAGTTTACCACCAAGTACCTTCTCTCCCAATAGAGTCTCAGTCTACGATACCCAACAAACTGCTGCCTGCCTCATTTTTTTTTGTTATCTCATGCTGAAAAACAAAAAAAACCAAAAAAAAAAAAACCAAAAGAAAAGGCTTTGGCTTCAGTTTTACTTACTGTTGAGATAAAACAGTGGTTGCCATCCTGCTCAGCATAAAGAACCCCATCTTTAATGAATACAGATATTGCACGTAGGATGAATGAAACAAAGAGGTTCATGTGGATAAAATTTCGAGTGCAGTGAAGCTTCCTACAGAGGAAAGAACAAGGGAGAGGAAAAGAAGAAAAAGAAAAAAAAAGGCTTTTCTTTCATGGAAATAGCACACTAGGCCTATCTGCACACATGGCCAGAGTTCTAGGGCCCTGGTGATAAGAACAGCAACATCTGAAAGTCAAGAGTGTGGATAATACTGACCCTAAACCTGACCAAGAGGAGGATTTGGGGGTTTTCCTGTAAAAGCATGCAGGGTAGCATAAAATAGACCCAGTCCAATGCAGCTACTGCACTTGCATAAAATAGACCCACAGTTTCTGCAGTTGCATCTACAGTCTACTGAAATGTGACTACTGGAGTGTGTCCCAGCTGGGGGAACAACTCTGCGAAAGGGTTGTCTCCCTCTTATTCTACATCTGGTGAGATAAAACCTTAAACATTGTTTTGGGCCGATGAGCTCCAGCCTCTTTCCTCCAGTGACTGAACAGCTCACTGCTCGTGTCCTGACTCACCTGAAACGACACAGGATAACCATGGCGGTGGTGAGGGAAACAAGAGAAGTGCTGTATCCCACTGTGTACAGAGCCTTCACAGATAGATAGTAGTAATCCTTGGGAGGCAAACAATACGCAGTTAAATGGTTCATCTACGGTCACATCTTTACCCTGTCAAGGTGCAGGGGGAGCCATAGGCAGGATTTGTTTCTTGGACAGCCTGGTTGTTTGCTCCTCTTGGTTCCCCTGAGATCTCACTGTATATTAGAGCATCGCTCTATGTCTGGCGTACCCTTGGGTCTGCACACTGTGAAGCTTATTTGTCAGTGAGCTAGCAAAGGCTGTCTATATTTCTTTGACCACTGTGCATGTGTCTGTAGAAAAAAAGTAGCTGGCTAAGGGATTCTTTAGTCAACAGGGGAAGAACTGGGGGCTAACCCATGCTTCTAGAAGTTACAAGCTGTATCAACAGTAAACTCTCATATTCTGGAAATATTCAGTACAGGGCTAGGAAGGATTTACATCTTGCTTCTCACATTTTTGTGCCCATAAATATCTGATTGTTTCATTCTAATCACCATCAGATCAGAACATGACCAGAGGCTGGACAAAAAGCAGCCTGCTGCTCCTCCCTTCATTTGTTTTTAATTATAGGATTAATTCCCACCTGGTTATCAGACTCTGTTTCATTTTCATCAAAGCCGCAGGCATCATAATAATGAGGAAAAGGTTCGGACCAGCCATCTTCAGTGCAATTTCGGCTGATGTCCCCTATGTCAAGTACAGTTGAGAATGTGACATTGCTGAAGCAAACACCAGGACATATCCTCCCTCCCCTTGGTACATGACCAAAGAAAACCCCACAGTACCACTGGGGGTGCTGTTTATCTGGCTATCTATAGAAGACTTTAATGGCAACTTGAAAGTTTAATGACATCTTTAATGACCCAATTTTACAATAGGCTTCTACAGATGTCTAGCACTACAGCTGGTCACCACAGAGCAAAAAAGATTTAACGGGTGTAGTCAGTGCCTCCAGGCCACCAAAGACCTCATTCGCAAGCACATACCTAAACCATGTGTCAGCTAAATATCCCTTTCTCTGCATTGACTCTGAAAGGCATCTAGGGAATAGAGCTTTGATGGAGACATCTACACTTCAGATGGCTAAAGGTTAAGTCCAGGGCTTAAATACAGGTAGGCAGTTTGTGCTAGTTAAGACGATCTATATCTGAGGAATCTGCATGGGTGTGGCAAGAAAACACAAGGCTAACGTGATTTTTGGGAGCAGCTGCCTGAAGCCAGGCAGGATACTGTAGGATATGTAAAATAGCCATTATATGTCTGTGGTGAGGCAGCTGGATTGTTCTCCTCCAGTCAGATAACGTCCCACTCATTTATCTTCAAAGCTCTAGGTTTCCTAGGCTCTGATCTGAGAGTGACTTTGTGAGGAGGGTCTGTAGGAAAACAAAAGAACATTTACACCTCCAGATGCCCAGTGTGGCTTCAGCTGACAATTTCAAACCTGTTTCAGAGCTTCTCACATTCCCCTGCCTATTATTTGTTCCAATCCCAGCTTATAACCTTCCTGTAAAGCAAGTGTTTGCAGGGAGGCTCAAAACTGGCTCAGAGAAAAACCTCTTTCTCTTTTTCTCTCTTTTTACCCTAATGGCTTGGTTAATCTCATATGTAAGGGCTAGCTCCTAAATGGCTGTCACTGACACAATCAAAAGGCTTAAAACTTTATTGGGAAACAAGAGCTGGGGGTAGGAGAGGAAAGTGTCTCTTGACGCTCACTTTGCTACTGAGGCTGCCTAAGGTGGGATGGCCCCTGTGGGGCTCTTTTTAAGCACCATTACTCTTGCCAGATCTCAGTGACCTGGTTGAAAAATTAAAGCTGGGTTGCTGGCTGCGCTTATTCCTCTCCAGAACAATAGAACAGTTTCCATTTATCGAACTATTACAGTTTTTGGAGTTTGAGCTGTACCTTGACCAAAAATTGATGGGAACTTCCAAGGTTTGTTGTGTTGTGTTTTTTTTTTTTTTTTAAGGTTGTGCTTCTTCGCATTCTTAGAGCAGTTTATTCAAGTAGCTCATAACACCAGCAGTGACCTTATTTTTAGAGAATCTGTTTAGCATCCATGCAGCAGAATATATCTATTTAATCACAGCATTCATTTAAGAACATTGCATTACTTGGCACATTTTGGTAAATTACTCTTGCACATTCATCCCCAGTTTTCCATGGAAAATAACCACTGAATCATGGTGTTGACTTTCCTTAACACCATTTAGTAATTACTGTTAAGCAAGTAGATATAATTTATAACAACATACTTGTTAGATTGCAAGGCTTAATAATGGAGGAATACATTTTCATAATACTGCTAAAAGTAATGCACCAGAAAATGCGTCACTGTAATTAGAACTGATTAGAAAATAATACCTAAATGGCAGGAGAAAAAAGCTTGGATCTTCCTTTTTAACAGAGAAAAAAAAAGATTGAAAGAGAAACATTCCATGGTTCCGTTTCTTACCTAGGGGAGACTGGGCTGTGCTTTCCAGCAGGTCGTAATCACCTATAAAAGTGGAAATTTGGTATGAAATTGTTTTGATTGTGTTTTCTATTAGGACCCAAACTGGTCTCTGCGGAAATCAGTGAATAGAATACAATTGATTTTTATTTGTTTGGATCAGGCCCAAAGGCAATAAATACTTGATTCTGTCTTTTCAGGAAGTAAACACAGTTTTACTTGTGAGTTAAAATCAAAGCTGAACCTATAAAATTAAAAAATCACTACTGCAAGCAGCGAGCACATAGCTAAAAACACATACGATAAAATTAGGACCAATTTTATTGTGAAAATATAAAGGTCAGTTATATCTTAGAAATTTACATTTATAATCCATAGATATTTAAGTATGGTCAGTTTTCACAGAATTAATGAAAAATTCTTTCCACCCATTAATGAAAAAAGCAATAATTAATTGGTTGTAAGTAAGACAGTTTAATTTTGTGGGTTTAGGTTAGATCACATTGATTTCTAGAAACTCACCAGATTTGTACTTTTGCTTTTTGTCACAGTGCTACAATGAACTCCATGCATTCATTATCATAAAGGTTGATACAGAACCAACTTTTGAATAATCTGATATTATCATGCACTTTACACACAATTTTTGAGAACAGAGATACATAGGAGGTGGTAAACACAACTGGTTCTTACCTGCATGGGTTTGCCCCAAGTTATCTACTTCCCAACCTGAAATTAAAAGAATAATTAATTCAATAAAAAAATTAAATACTTAATAAAAGTAATTAATTTGATCTTGATAATAGCTTGCTTCCCATAAAAGGTGTGGATGTAGCAGTGCCCAGAGAAGAACTGCAAGAAAATTTTACGAAAATCTGTTTTTCAAGATCAGTACTATATATTTGTGGGTGGAAAGTGCTTTTCAGAAGACTGTTGATTGCATTGTGTTGTTAAATCTTGTTATCATGGAGTTTCATCAAACTCTAGGAAGGATATGAAAAAGAGACGAGGGATTTTATTTGTTGGTGGCTTTTTTCTTTTTTTTTCTTTTTTTTCTTTTTGTTTTTTTGGGGGGGGAGGTTTCTGAAATAAGAAAACCCCACACATTTCCAAAATATTGTGTCAAAATCCATGCTGATTTGTATACTAAAATTACAAAATGTTACAATGGGAAATCATAAAAGTTTGTGTTTGCATTAAGAATTTTGCTTTTCCGTTCTTTTACCCTTCCAAAATAAAATGTTGGGATTATCTTAAACCAATCTCCCACCCACCCTACTAAATACTTAACCCGAATTGCTCTGAAGTCAGACTTTCCCAAATCCTCGGTGGATTTTGGCTCCAGCTTGGTGTTGGGGGATGCATAAAGAGGAGCTGCCTTAAGCCACCGAGTGGTGCTGCTGCACCACGCACAGAGAGGAGCCTGACAAAGCTGTCTGCAAACACCTCTGTCAGTGGCCCACGAAAAAACATGTTTCCGACATTTCATTGACCACTAGGGCAGGTTAAATGTTTAGATTAGTTTAGTTCTGTATCCGCTGGAATAACCACAGAGCTTCACGTTGCTCTTCTGTCACCCTGAACATATGGTCAAATCTTAACTAGGGATTGGAAAAGCCATTCACCAGTTTGTATGAGACCATTTTTATTAAAAGTGGAATCCAGAGACTGATTTTGATCCTATGGGAAAGGAGAAAGACAGCATCTAAGGAAACAAGGGAGTAAAGAGAGTCTTTTCACCACAGCATAAAATGCATTTTCTATTTTTTCAAATTCCTTATCATGTAATAATTTGAAATTCACTCATTTCTCTCTCGCCTCTAAAATAAATCAGATGTGCTTTTTGATTTTCTAAGATAGAAAACAGAGGATTTAGTGTGAAGATGATGGTGGAGTCTAGAAAACTAAGCTGAAGCATGAGGTAGGCTGTACTGTGTCTTTGAGTGAAGGTACACACTCAACCCAGCCGTTACTCTGGAGGGTTAATCCTGAAAGCCACGACGGGAACCCCCTTGGCTCTGGAGGGTTAATCCTGAAAGCCAAGACGGGAACCCCCTTGCCCTCCTGGCTTCTCTGCCCAACTCCAGCTGCTTTCAAGATTTCACATATGAGAATTCTTGGATGTTTGCAAATATTGGGTAGGTGTACTAATTCTGGAGAGAAGCCACCAATGCTCTGAGCAAACATTTTCCAGCAAAGATCGTTCAACCTGCTGCATCAGGCTAAATGACCAGACGCTGCAGAAGCGCTACGGCTGTGCTCCAGATTCTTGGCAGAATAACAGGGGTGCTGCTGCAGAATATTTTGGGCAGACCTATTTCCCCCCTGACCCTACCAAAACCCAGGTTTATTCAGAGAGATATAGCTCAGATATGGATGCCTATGCTGCTAAAATCTGAACTCAGAATATCAACTTTAGGATATCCTGTGGGAATTTTTATCTGTGTCTTATTAGGCAGAAGATCAAAGAGCAAGCCACTGCTCCTTGATCACTGTCTTTCATAGTGTCTGTCATAGCCTGCTGCCACTCAGATCAGTAGGTCATAATGGAACTTGTTCCTTACATGAAGTCACCTCACTCAATAACCTGACCAACAGAAGCAGGATAAGAAGAAGCTGCAAAAAATTTCCAAAAAACTTTTTGATTCATAAAAATCCAGTTTGCGTTTATCAGTTGTACAGTGTGGCTTAAATCCTGAAATGTGATCTTACAAACTTTCCAGAATTCTTGTTGGAGGAAGACCAGGTCAATATTAAGTAGATTGAAGGCTGATGTTCCCGGCATCACGGCATGTTACACTGACTCATCAGGAAAATACCTTTTTTGAAATGTAAATATTTTAAATTTAGCTATTTTATTCCAACAATTTAAAAGGAAAAAATAAAAATTACCATTATTTCACTCTAAATATGGGTGGTAGTTGATCACACTGATGTTAAAATATTAGATTTTACTTTATTTTTAATTTCATGATATCAGTAATAGCAGCTAAATCATTATATTAATGTAGGTTTGCAAAATGAAGATGCTTTTTACATTAATATTTCTTTTATATACCCAGATTATTATTGCATTTTAACTGTGTTTGGGCATTATGAAGGGATTCACATTTTCGACAATGTTAATTTTCTGATTGCTGTAGGAGCAAACTTGCCTTTTATTAACATATTTTTCTACATCTGAGTCCTTGCTAATATACTGAAGAAAGTTCCAGTACAACCTTTTACTCTACAGGCTTTTAGGCTTGATCCATCAACCTAATTTTCACTAATAAGTTAAGCTACTGGAAAGTTAATTAGATTTACACTGAACATTATGCCCTGAATTACAACCAAAAGTCAAAGTTTATCTAATGAGTATTGGGATAACACACACACACATACACAATTATATTTAACATTTTATAAATATCATATGTTTATGTACCCTGCACCAGAAGATGGATGTTTAGATGACAGATAACTGTGGTAATGGTTATGTTTGCTCACATGTATGAGAGTGCGATGGAGCGCTTTTGGATTATTTCTGTGCTTAACATTTAACATGTCTACAGACACGGGACAAGACCTGCATTTGAGCTTGCATCTGAGCTGGGGTTGTAGGAAGTCTGGACATAGGGCAGTCCCTCTCATTTTTCAGACTATTACCCTGAAACTGTGTTTCTGTGGTTTTTTTTTCACCTGAGTGCCCCTCTGGCTCTAGAGAGACCTCAGAAAATTTATTTTGGTGTCAGTAATGTAGTGGGCAAAATTGTAGGACACCTAGCTGCATGGGCTTCCACATGAGTCCTCTCGTTGCCTTACTCTTAGGACATAAACAACGAAAAATTGGTGCATCATACTTCACTGATGATGCAGAGCAAGCCCATCAAGTTGATTATGCAACAGGCTAGATGAAATACCTTTCTCTCCCAGAAATGAAGAATAAATAAAATATGCTTTTCTTTTGCGTTTTGACTGGGAACCCATTTTTCAGGATTTTAATTCAAGGATTAGCCATGACTTACATTGATGCCTGTGTTCCTCACATGTAGTTAAATACCAGCACAGCCCAAACTACAGAAAGATGGACCAACAGCAGTAATTAAGCAGTGTCTTAGAACACCATTTTTTAAATCAATAATTGCTCACACTAGTCAATAAACTCCTGAGGAAGCTAATGTTATCCTTGACAAAGGATGGTTTATCCAGTATGTTGACAGACAGTATTATTCACTATTTGACCAGACTGAATAAGCAAGTGTCACTCTTTGGCTAGCAAATCTTCCATTAGTGTTTTAACTGTCATTATTAATTAGATGTTATTTGCAGTACTACTTAGGGTCCCTAGAGAAGATCCATCAGAACGCTGAATTGTCAGTTCCAAAGACCAAACAGAGAAACCAAACACAGAAAATATTGCTTATTTCTATTTTCTATATGAAGAGAAGGAAAAAAAAAAAAAGAAGTCATAGGACTTGCTGATGGCTACCCATAGCGTTAGTGGTAGAGACCCAGATCTTTCATGCCCTTTTCTTGCACATTTATCAGACTTTCTTCCTTGCTTTTCATTTGCTGAGCCCCAGAAAGCATAACTACCTCCTCAGCATCCTCCAATGGATGAGAAATTTGATGCAAGCAATTGTTGCTTCTGATTTAAAGTGAACACAACCAGCAAAGCTGAAGCCAAGAAACAGCCCATGTACGATGAGCCTCGGAGCTCAGTGCAGCCTTTTAGATTGTCTCCTTCATGCCAAATTTGTGCTGGCTGCTTTCGATGTCAGCTGGCATGGCAACGGCTTTATCTCCCATGGATTTGTTTATCTGAGCACAACTTCCATTTAACCCTTTAGTTCCAGCATTTGTCCCTTATTAGTGGCAGAGGAGGGGGAATGAGAGGCTTCCAAAACTATTCTGTCCTGGAATGGCTTGCCCACACTTTTCCCTTATCCCTGTTGTTCCTATCTCAGTATTACGGGTTGGAGGACTGGTCCGCATGGGTAATCCCCCAAAAGGTTGGATTTTGATGGCGTTGAGATCAATGTGCAAAGTTCTCACTGTTTTTACTGCATGTTAATTCTGTCCCTTCAGAAAGTGCAGAGACTGGGGCAGAAAGAGGTTATGGAAAACATTTCCTACAATCACTTGTTATCGTGCTGTCCAGCTATGTGATAATGAGCTGGTTAGGCAGGAATTCAATTTTTTCTTGTTATATAGCACTGATTAGAAGCTTAACATTTAATTTATAAATACGAAATAAATCAGCAAGCTCTCACGCCTGACTCTGCAGCATCCACCACCCTCTGCCTTTTCAGTCCCTTCCCCATTGCTGCATGCTGCTTTTATGCACCAGCAATCTGTTCAGCCGGCTGGCAGAGCCGCAGTCGGGAACAGCAGCCTACTTAGCAGCTTTTTGGGGGCTTTCTGAGCTCCCCACACAGATACCGCTTGCACACTCTGCCCGCTGCTTCTAATGCCCACTGCCCCATCCTGTACCTGGGCACACACAATCCCACGTGCACACTATCCAACCATCCCGGTTCCTTCATTACGGATCTCTTTTTCTGGGGGGGAAAGTGATCCAGAATCAGCTGCTAGATCTCTACAATCTCCTTGACAGGATCTGTAGAAAGTGGCAGCCAGGCAAGGTTACGGAGTAGATGGCCTTCCAGGTTCCCATTTCCCTATGCTAAATGCTTTCCTTCACTATTTCCAGGGATTTTGGTCTCTCCAGCCTCATGCCCCATAACAATACTTTAAACTACAGATTGAAAGTCATTAGTCACTTGGAATTTACTGTATATTGCCATTTGCCTCACCAAAGGGATTTGTGAACATAGTGCTTGCACAAAGACAGTACAAAATTAAGTGGTATTGTTCATCATATTTAGAAGACAAGAAAACTGAGGCAGATGAAAGTTAAGATTAGGAAGCCTGGTTTGTAATTGTATGTTTGAATAAGAACTGGTGCCTAAGGACACCTGAGGAACTGATCCTGTGGGGCAAATTCATCCCATCCAAATTACCCACCTGAAGATAAGTTCATCTGGTTTTTAAGTCTCCTCCCATAAAGAGTGAAGAGACCGTCACTTCCAGAGGGTGATTTGGTTTAGACATCTGCCATAGGATGAGATGAACCAGCTTCTGCAACTTCTTTGTTACCCAATGGTTTGTGCAAAACATTGCAGTGAAGGAAGTGATGGAACTGATACACAAGTCCTTTCTCCCTATATCCCATACTAATTTCAGGGCACATGGTTTCATGCCACAGAGACAAGAAGACTCAGTGAATCATGCCTGGAGATCACGGGAGAATGCCAGTGAGGTCCCATATGGAGAACCATAGTACATAGGGCTGGCTGAGGCAGCACTGACGTACAGGTATGATCAATAACATGTAAAGGGAAATTATGACTTTCTTCTTTTCTTCCTCTTTCCTATCAAAGGCTATGAAACTAGCAGTGGACTGAGGTCACCATAGCAACTGCTAGGCATCATCTAAACATAATGTGTATCCTTCCTATGAGGCTGGCTGTCACAGGAGCATCCATCAGAGTGCAAGATCAATGCAAATACTATCGAAGTGTCTCCTAGATCCGAAGAGAGCAGGGGTCATATTTCAGAGAAAAGGAAATGTTTTTCAAACAAGAAACACAGAAAATAAGAATCATTGTCCAATGGAGATTGTCAGTTATGAAATACATCCCAGAGAAGAAAGCATATTAAATCACTTGCTTAAAGGCAGGAATAAATGTATGTCCACACCTAAAATTTTGCAATCAACTGGAACTCTTTTCTCAGTTATTTGAGTCAAGAGGAGAAACACGAATAGAGCAAAGACTGCTAGTAGAGGTTGAAGCATCTCCCCATGTTGTATCTACAGTGATACTTCAATGTATTACCTTTTGCTGTCCAAGAGTTCTCCAAACTGCTCTGCAGCTCTCAGTGTGTTCCACCCTTCCATGCTTCCCAGAGGAGCATGATTTTTTAATTTTCCTGTAAAAAGCATCTCTGAGGCCTTAACTACATGATTGGAAATGTAGATACAGTTACTGTTCTTTGATGGCAATATTTCCCTCCCATTTGCCTCTGCATTGCAGATAGACTTTGTGATGCTGCGACTGAGGAGGCATGCTTAATTATAGCTTGTCCTCCTCGCTTTGGAAAAGCTGAAGTAATCCCCTGGCTTTACTGCCTGTGGAAAGCCTAGGGATGAAAACCAGTGGGAAAGGACTTGTTATCTAGTAAGCACTATTATCTTGGTTATTGGCAAGACTTATTATTTTTAACATCAACACTTGGTAGGTCTCTTGTACTCATTCTTTATGTCACAATTCTTCCTAGGACTTGCCGAACACTAAGCAACAATAACACATATGGAATCTGCAGACAGCTTTGAAAGCTGTCCAAAACTTTTAGCTGGTATATATATAAAAAACCCAGATAACTTTGCACTGAACTTGCTTCTGAATGCTACATAGGATCTTACATAAAGTGAAGGACGAAACTAAGGCATGCACAGAGTCCTGGTTGCTTCAAAGACTAATTAAGCTCTGATGGCTCATTATTATTCCCATGATGAAAAAGCTATGGGATGGGTCATGCCTATTTTTCAGAGACTACTCCTTCATTCTGCTGTTTTTCTTCCCTTGGTTTTCATGCAGGGTGTTTAATACCCACCAGGGGTGAGATATACTTGAATAGAAATCTAGACCTTTGCATTGATCTTTTGCCGTGCCCATTTGACACACAAATGCAATTTCCAGTTTCTGTCTGCTGCAATGCTGACCTTAATTTCAGCTAGCA